ACATAGCCTGTTGGGTCATAACCCAAAGAGACAAGGGGAAAAAAAATGTTTCTTTTTGACGGTCTTCATTTTTTTTTTTTTTGATGGGCAAAATGTATAGCCTCTTTCGATAGTCTAAATGAAAATAAAGCAGGAAATCATAACCTCTAAAACTTCCTCACGTTCATAAAGACCATTTCGATGTGACAAGCACAAAGAAAAAAAATCCCCGTTTCCCCCTCTAGCTGGTGCAGCCCCCACACCACATCCCATTGTCTCAACCCTGGAAACCAGAGCCCACTTTTCTCCTATGAGTTTGCACTTCGCTATTTTTTTCTTTCTGTTTTTGTTTTTTTTTCTTTTTTCTTTTTTCTTTCTTGTCCTTTTCCAGGTCTTTGGATTTAGCTGTAGTTATGAGAGATCCAGAATAAAGCTATTCAACCGAAGTCATCAAGCATATGTGTCATTCTTACACAGATGATTAAACAAGAGCCAAGGTTTCTTGAAAGCTGAGTTTATCTTGGATGTGCCCAAATGAAAGTAATTCCAAGTGTACACCATGAAGATGCTGGGATACTTTTCTTTCCTGCACTTAATTTTCAATGTTACAATAAAGAAAGCAACGTACATTGTAGAAGTCTCCCATACATGTTAAGCAATCACTTGAACTCATTTATTGTAACAGATGACAGTATATATGTATGGAAATGTCTGTGCACAATATCTGTGCACAGTCTGGACGCCCATAAGTAATGTGTGTTGCTATAAGGAGAGCTGTGAGGATACATGTCGAGAGATGCCTCTAAATCCATATACATCCACACTGACGGACTGTATAAGCTTTAGGCAAACTCACCTACCAAGGTTTATGCTCTGTGAAATGTCTGCTGCTGGAGATGGAGCAGAGTGGAAGGCTTCCATGGAATGAACAGACCTGTAGCGATGTGTTTTTTTCCTATACACATTTTCTCCACTAAAAAGGTCTTAGCTGGTTGATTCCAGTCAACCAGACTCAAAAACCTATAAAGACAGCTTGGGCTCTAGCTTTAACCTGTCTCAGACTGTCAGAGTCCTTTTTGTATCTGAGAACAATGTGGGAGTCATGCAAAATAGCCCATCGGCCTCAATTATAGGCTTTGTGTCTACCTATATATGTAAGGCCTTATATTATTTTAATAATTATTTTGGTATTTTATAACACATTCTGAGACTTTCTAAAACAAACCCTCCCCCTCCCCGCCCCCTCGGGAAGAAACAAATCATGGACAGAAATGGCCATTGGGGACAGCCATATTTAAAGCCAATGTCATTAATTTATGAGACTTATACAACGAACCGACCCTTCTTCCTTTAGTAAGGATTTTGGGGCCTTATTTGAAAACTAGAATCTCCTGTTGTTTTAGAGGTGTCTTGGTCTTAGCTAAATGTACAAAATTATTAAGCTATCCAGTCTTGCATGTGAATATTCGAAAGTTGTAGATGCACCAGCTCTATCCCTTCCTTCTCTATCATTTCCTACTCACTCCTCCTGGTTAGGCTAACAAGTCCGAATCACCCAGCATCAGCAGCAGCAACAACAAAAAAATCATCTCTGATCTGTTAAGAATCATGACAGTTATTTCCATAGGACTTGTGTTTGGGCTTTGGGGTCAATCTTAACTACATGTATCACCTCTTTTTCTCAGCTTTTTAATATAGTTCATTCTTCTTCAACAACACTGGGACTCAGGCTGTTCTTTTTATATTTTTAAAAATTCCTACTATACAACCTGCGGAAAATCTGAGTTCACCATAAAGGTATATTGTCAGAACATTTCGGTAATGGTAATCAGACACTTCAGTAATTCTACAAGCATTTTCAAAAGTGGGAAAGTGTCCCTGCCTGTGCCAGGTGGTGGTGATTTTTTAAAAAATTTATTCAACTTTAATTTACTGGCATTAAAAGATGTGTTCCCAGCACAGGTAGGATGAAATGACTGATCATCCCAAAAGTATTTATATTTAGCTTTCAAATACATTGTTTGAATTACAAAAATGCACACATATATGTATATATATGTATGTGTGTGTCAGATTTACCTTCTGAATTTTGATTTCATTTTAGCTAGAAATGAAAATTAGCTTAAATTTCCTAAGCCCACAGTTGCCAAGAGCCTGTGGGAAAAGATGCAGAGGTGATGCTCTCTGATCTCTCCAGAAAAAGCGTCATGCTGAGTCCTTCATTCCTTTTTCTCTCCAGTACCTTTAAGTGGTACAACCTACCATTTTACATTTTGGAAAAGCCTCTGCATATCAGGGTTGAGTTTTTATTGTTGTTGCTGTTTTCCTTTGAAAATGAAATAGACTGGCTCTTTTAAAAATCTTCCCGGAATGAAAGAATTATATACCCAGTACTAAAATCACATTGAAAACAAAAGTAAAGCAAGCCTATTTCCCTATAGGAATAGAGAAAAGTTATTTTTCCACTCAATAGCCTTTAGATTTCTGTTGCCTCAAGAATGTGAATTTTGGGTCAGAACTGTCCCTTCACGCTGTCCCCTTTGTTGCTAATGGCTGAGGTGTGTCTGGAATTTCTCTTGGATTGAAGAAACAGATCCTCAAGTATAACCAAGTCCAAATGGTTATTTTCTCTGAAATTATTAACTTAAGTAAATTTTAAAAAATGCTTGAGGAAGCCCACTGGGTCAAATTTCATTACCTTTCAATTGGCAGGGTTTTTTTTTCTTTCAGCTTTTTCACAAATTGAAATTCTGTAGGGCTTACAATTTTGATAATACATATATGAATACACACATGTATGTATTCATATGTATTCATATATGTATGTAAATAATTTTCTAAAAGCAAGCACCTCTCTCTGGTATGGCATTATCCACTAAGAGACATTTAACAAAAGTCCTTGGAGGGAAGTTCTTGCCTTTTTTATATTAGGACGTCCTCCTTGGGTCACCAGGACCACCGAGGGGGTGGATGTGGCTACAACAGGTTTTATCGGTATTGAAATCTCAGGCCACAAAGGCAGCCTCTTTTGGTTTTGACATCTTCAGAGGGTGCCCGAACCCAAATGGTGAGATTAGCGTACTGAAGGGTCACTAACCAAACCAAGCAGGCTTGCTCCCTCAATCCAATCTCCAGAACACTGGCCGCAAGTCACAAGGATTTCATGTAGAAATAGCCGAGCTGAACCCGGCTGAACCCTTTGCATCAACCCGTAGGGAGCATTCCCCGGCTGAAGTATGCTGTTTTCTCAGTCGTTTGACAAAGGAGACATGCGGTACAAGCAAGAGACAAAAGGATACGGGGCAAAGTCCTGGAACATCCTGAGGAAGGATGAAATACATAAGCCACGGAGAGTCACATTCCTTCACAGCTCTGTGGGTGCTGGCCCTGCAAAGGGAGACCCCCATGGTGGGAGCCAGGAGGTGGCACCATGGACGATGGGGCTCCCGGGGGCAGGACGCTGGGATTCTCCCCAAATGCTGCTTTGTGTTTTCCCTCCAGGATGGAGGCAAGCCCCCAGTCGGTACAGCTGCCTTGCTCCAGCTCCAGTTGTGGCTGCACACAGGCTTGTCAATACACCTCAGGAATTAGCCCCCGGAGGAAACCTGATCAGCCCATTGTGACAGGAGTTGGACTTCCCCTGTGAGAAGTCCCTTTGGTGGATCTGCTCCCTGAGGGGATCGGCAACACCCTGATGGGACAGGGTAGCTCCTGGAGAGCAGATTTCTGGACTGGCCTCATTGCCACAGCTAGTGGGACTGGACCACCGAGCCTTCCCAGCAGTTACAGAAGACAAGCTCCCCACTAGTGGGCCAGGTCTCATGCACAGACCTCACTTGCCACCTTGACGGTGGTTGAGGCATTAGACTAGAGATGACCCCAAATACATATAAAACTCATTTGCACCACGAATCCATTTATCAACAGGTTAGATGTTGAAATGCTTGAATTTGACTTTCAACCTTTCCCGGGAATTTTCACAGAAATCCGAGTACTCCAAATCATCCACAGTGGAAAACAGACTCTGGGATGGCATGAGAAATGAGTGAGATTCGGAACTGAAGGCCTAACAGATGAAGCACTTGACCAAAACAAGACATGGATTTGGACAGCAAGAATTTGGGGTTATCACCAATGTCAAGTTGAATCTATATATGTATTCATATATTATATATATCTCTCTTTCTTTAGAAATGCAACTTTACAGCCGATTTTTAAAAAGCTAATAGAAAAGTAGAAACTGGCAATTATTTTTACATGTTTCCCCCCACCCCCAAATGAAGCCGTTAGGATGTAGCAATCACGTGAAAATGAGGCTGTGGATTCCTCTATAAACTCTTTGGTTCTGTGGTTCAGGAGAGGCTGTGTCACCAAGACCGCTAACCCTGACCCTCACTCCCCTTCCCTCCCCTGATGCTGAGACTCTGAACACAGAAGGAACCAAGTCTATGGGATAAGCAAAGAACATTCAAGTGACGTTATTCCCCGTACTCCGAGGAGTAGAGAGAATAATACTTCAGTATCCCAACATCTTAAACTTGGAGTCCACGGAACCTTTTGAGAGATTCCATGTTGGGGCAGAAAGCCATAAAACAAAATTAAAGGGAAACAATAAAATCAAATCAATGACCCTTGCCTTTTGTTGCTCAGAAACAAAATTGATTACCTTTACACAGATCAATGATGCTATTAGTACTCTAGCCAGACAAGAGGAGATAATGAACTGAACAAAAGATGTGAGAAATCCTCATCTTTGGTACTGTAGCTGTTGAGGTTTCTGTTGCTCTGTTCCATGTTCTTTTGAAAAACTGCATAGGCACAAATTAAAGACAATCTTCAACTTTAAGATTACCGTGTGAGTTGTCAAATGAGGCAGGAGCCGCCGAGGCTTTCCTTCTATCTATTCCTGCCTCAACCCTTTCTTTAAAATCTGCTTCCAAAAAATGTCCCAAGAGGTCTGTTTAAACACAGTGTGTCTCGCTGTTTTGTTGTTTTTTTTGGTTGTTGTTTTTGTTGTTTTTTTTTTTTTCTGGCGTGCTTCCTTCTTGTTGGTGGTGATTTTCACTGATTTACGTATTTATTTATTTATTCATTTTAATGGAACAGTTTTGTTTGTTGCAGAAGTAGGTGCAGAAAAAGTTTCTTTGGTTTCGATTAAGTAATTCATAAAAAAGTCAGTCTCAAGTGTCTGTAAAGAATCATTGCAGCGTTTGGCTTGCTTGGAACACCCCCATGGGGCCCACCTGGGGCCATTCACTGGTAAATATGCACATCGTGACCTTCGCAACCTCCCAGAGTTCTGTGGGCGCTCTTCCGCATGCTGTGGGAAGGTGACAGCCAGGACCCAGAGCTGGCGTGGCAAAGCCACTCCCTGGGTGGCTCGGCTAGCCGGACCGCTCAGCCCGATGGTGAGCCAAATGCAAGAGCTGAATGCCATTCGGAGTTGCAGAGGTTTTCTGATTTCTAAAAGTAATCACAGTATTTTTAGGCTAGAAAATGGCAAGTAATAAATGTCTTTGGTTTGCAGTATTCTGCTTCTTTGGTGTGCTGTGTTTTCTCCAGATTTACTCAGCTGTTTTGCAAGGATGATTCGACAATGGAAGAGATTTGGGACTAGATGACCCTCATGAGGAACACGTATGGCGGTTTGAATTACTTCTTTTTTCTTTTTCTTGCTAGAAAACACTGAAAAACGTCCCTACCGATGGGATGGATGAAGAAACAACTGAAATTCAAAAGAGTGAGAATGAATCATGTGGTAGTTACAATGCACAATAGGAGGAACCAGGCGACTAATAACCGAGAAGGACACATCAATGATCTAAAAAAAAATCTAGATCTTTTAAAATGCTGCATTTGCTCCATGTACCGTAACAGTTAAATTGGCCTCCTGAGTGTGCGTCTGCATTATGTACAAACAGAATTTGTAGCAAACTGCAAAATGTGCTTGAAGCCATATTCCCAATGATTCCCTAATGACTTCACAATCAGTGTCTTGAAAATCCAGATGTGGTGAATCCAGAACCTTCCTTACTTCTCTGTTTATCTACGTTGTGCTTGATACATTGAGCTCAAGAGAACTGATTTTTTTTTTTTGATGGATCCAAGACCACGTGAGATTTCCAGGAGGTAAGGAAAAGAAAACTGTAAACTGGATCAACTTAAAGCTTTCTAAACCATTCAATGAAACGATGCCTGAGTTGGAAAAACAGGTCCTCAGATTTTTTTTAATTTCCGTATTTAAAAGTTGTGCTCAGTAATTATCATTCTGATGTTTTTATGTTATGGCTGTGAGCTTTGGTGTACTGTGTGGTATGATGAGGCTAAGCACTTGGATGAGGTCATTCTTGTTGCTAGAAGAATCTCTCATGGTAGCATCTTGGGAGCCCAAACTCAGAATCCTTACACAGACAAATTCCCACCATGACATGTGGGAACTCTGACTGCAACAGGGCCCAAAGTGGGACTGTTGACATCTGAAGGGATCCCAAGCTTGGCTGACACCACACTGAAATCAACTCGCTCCAGGAAGGCCCCCCATTTGGATTTCTGGGATGCTTAGCATGCTCAGAGGACGAGGTCTGGTTCAAAAAGATTAATTTTCAGCTTGCACTTGGACTCCATAGCCATTAAAAAAAACAAAACAAGAACACCTGGCCTATGATTACAGCTAGAATAGAAGTTTCTTTTCAAGAGAATTGTGCTTTCAAATCACCAGTGAAGGGCCCCAGCTAAGAATCCGGTGTCTTTTTCCTTTGTGTTTTCTTTTGTGTCGGTTGTCCTCATCTGGAGGTGACCTGTGCCCAACCGAGAGTCCTTCCATCACGCTTTGGTACAAGTGCTGGAGGTGGACGAGGAGCCCGCTGTGCTCAGATCGTCCTGCCACTTCTCTAGGCTGCGGCGCCGGGCATTCATGAAGAAGTTGCTGACGGTCGTAAGCTCCAGGCCCAGCTGCTGGGAAATGGTGATCTGCATCTCTTTGGACGGCCGTTTGTTCTCCTTGAAGATGGCAAAGAGTGTTCGGCGTTGGAGGTCGGTGAACACCAGGCGGGATTTCTTCTGGGAATTGTTCCTGTCTTTGTTTGGTTCTTGCTCTTTGCGTTTGCATGCTTGAAGGGAAAGAGAAGAAGGAGCGAGTCAGTACGAGTGTGAGAAGCAGCCCCCCGAGAAGGTGAGCCATGGAAAACATTGACAGAGTCGTACAAGGGGATGTAAACCATTAAACTTTATTGTGCGAATTGCCCAGCTGTCAATAACCAGCCTTCCCAGTTCGGCTCCGGGTGATGGAAGGCGCCAGTGAGTGGAGAAGGGAGGAAGGGCGAGAAGGGCCGGGCGGCTCTGCACCGTCTGGTTTTAAACCAGTGGCAGCCCCCTGCCTCCCAGCATACCCTGAAAATTCTTCATCTCTGAAATCAGGCACCAGGAAGGGAGTGAAGACTCTGGGTTCCCAGTGGGAGCCTGGGCAGGCAGTTCCTCTTTCATACTCAGCTTCTAGAAGTGTTTACAGCCAAGCTGAAATGATGTTCTGGAGTCAAAACTTAAAAGTGCATCATTTTTTCCAAAATCCAAGCTTCTACCCATGTGATTCAAAAAATTGTTAACAGAATGAAATTAGAAGTGACAGAACAATGGTATCATCCCAACCCAAGTCCCCTTCTTCCAGACTTCTGAAAAATTAAGGAAAAAACAGAACAAAAACAAAACAAGGAGGGAAAGGCCGGAAGAAGTTGGTTTAGCCCACTCCAGCTTGGGTAGTCTGAAGCGAAGCCAGTACAAGAGGACGAGGGCTGGGGGTGGCAGAAGCAGCCCGAACTCAGGGGGACTTTAATTTATGCATCACTACCTCTGCCTTACCCTGCAAGTTCCCAGAAGGCAGGGAGCAGGTCTGTGTAATATTCCCAACTGGCCCGTTTGGGAGCCATGGACATAACGGAACACTCGGGATGCCTAGGTCACGTGATGCCTGGACTATTTCTGGGGGTCTGTACACTTCACAGACCGACTTGGATAAGCCAGCAGAATTGTTTTCATTTTAAAATGAAACAAATTGAGACCTAGGTTGGGTAAGTCATCAACCTGAGGTCCCATTCCAAGCCTGCTGCAGACCCAGGGTAAGAAGAATCCAGTCCTTCCCTCTCTCCATCTTCCTTCCTTCCTTCCTTTCTTAAGATTACTTATTTATTTGAGAGAGAGAGTGAGAGAGAGCACAAGTGGGGGGCAGGGAGCGGGAGAAGCAGGCTTCACGCTGAGCAGGGAGCCTGATGCGAGGCTTGATCCCAGAACCCAGGGATCATGACCTGAGCCGAAGACATACGATTAACCGACTGAGCCGCCCAGGCGTCCCTCTCTCCATCTTTCTCATCTACAGAAATGGCATCCACACTGTTGTCACATCTGAGGGGATCTGTTCGCAGGGCAGCCTCTAGGGCTTCACCCCCAGAGATTCTGGTTTCACCGGTATGGGGCAGGGTTCCCAAATCTGTGCTTTGACAAACCTCCTTGGGCCCCCTCCTGAGATGTGGGAACCAGCATGCTTGCCTACATTGTCACTTCAGGTCCCAGACTACTGTCCCCACCACAGCCTCCTGGGACACCTGGTGCCAAGCCTTCATCGGGAGGATTCTGCGTAAACAGTGGTGCATGGTAATCTCCTAATAACAAAATCTGGGCAAATATCCTCTGCAAACATTGGCTTGCCTCCTGCCTTGTTTTCTCTTTTGGTCTTCCCTGGGAAGGCCTGGTTGTCCCAGGTGTGTGACCTCAATCGTGAGTGTGGGAGGGTGTAGAGAGGAAGGGGGACAGGAATGAGTTGGTTCTGTGAGGCAGATACAGGCCGTGGTCATCCTGAAACCATACTTCCCCTTGACACCTGGTCCCACAGGTGCAGCGGCTTCAGCCCTCCTCGGCACCCCCTGCTCTGGCCCTGAATCTTCTCACACCGCGGGGTTTTGTCCTGTGAGTTCAGGTCCCTGTTAGACAACCTCTTCTGTTTGGGCTGGAACACTCCCACTTGTTTTTGGAGAATTCAGCCCGACCGTTTGCTACAGAATTAGTGCTGGAAGGTCCTTTGGGCTCCTGCATAATGGCCTCAATTGACAGGAAAGGAAAATGTCTCATAGAAATGAGCTCTACTCCCAAGACTTGAAACAAAAGACTGTAATTTTGTTTTTCTTGAGCAACTGACAGAAGGAGAAGGCTGAAATGGATGAGGGCCTGGCAGTTCCCACCGACCCAAGTGCAAAGCCCAGCTGTAAGACCTGGGTGTGGTCACTGGGCCTCCCCGTGCCTGCCTTTCCCTAGTGGTCACTGGACCGGGCTCGGCTGCCCAGGGCCTTCCCACCTTGGGGATGGATTTGCCTTCATGGGCCTCTCCCCCTGTCTAGTACTATTTCACTTATTGTCCCAAACCAAAGGCAGATGCTATCTTTCTCAGTGACACCTGTTCATCTCTCCTCTGGCAGGGAAGAATTATGGAAATTTTGGCTGTTACCTGCAAGCTTAATATACACAATTGTGTTAATATACACAATCCATTCTACCTGGAAAGTCCCACACTGGGCAGGTGCCTCTTTTGGGGATACTTCTCCCACCTCCCTAGTGGAGAGTGGAATCAGGAGTTTCTTTTCCCTCCCAGACAAGACACTTCAGGGTTTGAGCTCTGGGACCACCACCTCGCAAGGATCCTAGGGGGCGCTCATGAGTTATGTGCTGGTGGAAGGTGGCCCCGGGCGCGCACTGAGTGAGTTAGCAGGGCAAGCATGGCCTGATTTGGGCTCCAGGGGGTGCAAACATCGGCCTCCCCGGGCTTGTCTTCTTATTTCTGATCTTTCAGACTGGATTTGTAAACCCCTGTCTCTCCAGTTTCTTCTCAGCGTGTTGTTTCTTTTTTCATGAGCTTTCAGGCCTGTCCCTGTCCTCCAGGAATCCAGCAGCTCTTCCCACCTCTGCCCAGCTCCTCCTCCCTCCACTTCCCCTCCTCTACTCCACCCCACTCAGCACCTCCCCGCTCCTCCAGCTTCCTGTGTAGGCCAGCTTGTCCCTGGAGTCCTGCAGAAATGGACTTGTCCTTGCCACCCTCCTCCCTGGAAACCACAAGCACACGGACCAGAGAGGTCCTTGCAGAGGCCGCTGGGAAGGTGAGCTGCGAGCTCCTGGAGGGGAGGCGATGCTTGGGGCCGGGCAAGGAGGAGCCCATTCCAAAGGGGAATCCACAAGAAGCACCAATCTCAGGTGTAGGTGGAGAAGGATCTGTGTGTTTTCCAAGACCCCTGGAAGGCCCGCTGCCCCCACCCCACCCCAGGCTCCCCTCACGCCTGCTTTAGCTTCATCAGATGGGTGGAAGACCTAACCCCTGCCAGAAGGACTGCCCTCTTTCTGGGGAAGAGAGTCCTTTTAAATTCTCCGCAGCAGCGGTCCCGCCCCTTCGTGTGAATGAGGAGAGGCTCCTAGAGCAGGCTTTGCGGGGGGGAGCAGAGGCTTACAGAAAGCAGGTGCCCCCAAGGGGGCAGAGCAGCCCCACGGCAGGAACTGAGGCAGACTAATTGCAAAATTGGCCCCAATTCTTCCCTTCCCAATACCTATACCCCCTGCAGTGTGACGCTATGGCTCCTCCCAGCACGAGATGGCATTCGCTTGCCTTTGTGGGGGCTCTGGGCTGGCCAGATGATTTGCTTTAGCCGAACGAATGTGGCAGAAGTGACGGCATGGCAGTTCTGAGCCCAGGCCTCAAGGAGCCATGTGCTTTGTTCATGCTCTTGGAACTCTGCCTGGCGGCCACATGACAAGCCCACACCAGCCTGCGTCAGCTGGGCCTGGTGGCCCCGCAGCCGATGGCAGGTGCATGAGTGAGTCCAGCAGAGACCACCCACGCGGGGCCCTGGAGCAGTAGAACCGCCCAGCTGACCCACAGACTCTGGAGCAAAAGTAAATGTTTCTGGCTTTATGCTACGGGTTTTGTGGTTCTGTGTTATGTAGCATGGCTGTGGTGAAAGACACAGAAGCCAAGAAAAACCTTTGCCTTCCTGCCCGGGGAAAGTCAAATGTCAAATAGGAAGTCTCTGCTTGAAACTGAGAGCTGGTTATCAGCTGCATGACCTTGAGCCTCAGTTCCCTCATCTACCTCATGTATAAAATGGGGATACTAACGCCCACCACTCCGGACATCAAGAGGCCAACTGTGGGGCGCCTGGGTGGCTTAGTCAGTTAAGCATCTGCCTTCGGCTCAGGTCATGATCCTGGGGTCTTGGGATTGAGCCCCGCTTTGGGCTCCCTGCTCAGCGGTGGAGTCTGCTTCTCCCTCTGCTCCCCCCCCAGCTTGTGCTTGCTCTCTCTCTCTCTCACTCTGCTCTCTCTCTCTCAAATAAATAAAATTTTAAAAAAAGAGGCCAGCTGTAGCACTTGGCACGCAGTAGGTGCTTAGTAAATGTAAATATTCTTTTTCCCTTCATAGAAAAAGAAGAAAAAAGGTTTATAAGAAGGTAAGGTTAGGGGCGCCTGGGTGGCGCAGTCAGTTAAGCGTTCAACTCTTGATTTCGGTTCAGCTCATGATCTCAGGGTCGTGAGACTGAGCCCTGTGTCGGGCTCTGCGCTCAGTGCAGAATCTGCTTAAAACTCTTTCTCCCTCTGCCCCTCCCCAACCCATGCTCTCTCTCTCTCAAAAATAAATAAATCTCAGGGGCGGAGCAAGATGGCGGAGGAGTAGGAGACCTGGATTTCGTCTGGTCTCAGGAATTCAGCTGAATAGGGATCAAACCTTTCTGAACACCT